CAATATACCATCAATCCATAGTTGGAGGCAGCATGTGTACATATTTAAATTAAGGTTTTTTTTATACCAGCCCTCCTGCCTCTAAGAGTATTTTCATTTTCACTTCATAAAAACACTATTCTGTTTGTCCTATTGTGCATCAGTGCTAGCACATAGATTTTCCATAATGAAAATAACCAAAGCAGCCCACTCACTGGTGCAGCAAAAGCAGCATCCAGGATCTGATGTGCAGCTCAAATGTACATGCTTCAGAGCCACACTCAACTATTGCCTGCTGCCTTGAAAGCAGAACAGAAGACTTGTGGGCACAGTCCCAGGGGGTACTCAATAACTTCTGTAGGCAGCTCTGCCAGATGACTAGATTGGTGCTATTCTGTGCTATTGGATCTCTATTTCAAACCAGATGGACGTTACCCAAAATAATATTTACTTTAATTGGAAATAAATGACATGCTGTTAGTTTTGACTCTCAGTTGCAGGCTAATGATGGCAGTGGCATTTTAATTTAGACAAAATTGAGGACAAAACAAATTGGATCAGTCTAAAGGAGAGAAAAGTACACCAAATAGGACATGGCAGCCCAGCAGTTCACAGAAAGTAAAGAAATGCCTTTAGACAGATGCAACTGCAGCTCCCTCATTTTCATCTACTTGTAAGAATGAATGCGCAGCTTGACAACTGGGACTATATTTGCTTTATGGATGGCCAAATCACATGATTTAGCTACTCATGGATAACTGTCCCAATCTGCTACTCACTCTATTAGGTGACAATGTTCTTCCCTTCCCTGTCTCCTTCCCCATACAACATATTATAGCAAAACGGAAATAATGATAATGCTTTAAAATGTCTTGAATATAATTGCTGATCATGAGGCATCCTTGACCTATAAAAAAGACCCCCAACATAGCCGAACTGCAGCTAGACAAATCATGGAAAAAACAGTTTTTCCAACCAAGGGTTAGCATAGAGTAATATAGGTCCAGGGACTCCAGTGAAACTACATCAAGTTACGGTTTAGCATATTGTTTGCGTTCATTGGAGAGTACTCAAGTATTATTCTTGGTCTCTCTGGGTCATCCTACTCATCCACCCACCTACTCTCCAGATCTCACTTCCAAGGCACAACGGTATGGTCACACAGTCCACATTTCTCCATGCTGTAGAAATACTCTTGCACTGATGCCAAGCGAATACTGGAGGATGGCACTAGGTCTTTGATTCTCACACTCTT